TAGTGATTCCCAAAAAGAAACAAAGACTTTTGAGGTCAATTATTTTATTTAAATTATACTAGGAAGAGAGAGAAAATGTTTTTAAAAATGAATATGCATCAAATGTGGCCATTTAACTATAATTAAAAGCCTGCTGATTATATAATATAACACCCACAACAGTGGGGAGGAAAGATTTAAATGAACAGGTAGCTGAGATTCTCAAAATTTCAAGGGTACAAAACCCATTTTGGTTTTATTCCCTAGTGGTTGCAGTAACATTTTTAAGAAGTTGTTGTTGTTGTTATGTGCCTTCGAGTCAGACCCGACTCATAACAACCCTTCCTTGGGTTTCCGAGGCAGTATCACTACAGAAGTAGATTGTCCAACCTTCCTTCTGAGGAGTCCCCATAGGGCACAGATTATTAAACACTCAACTACTGGCAAAAAGATTGGCAGTTTGAAGTCACCAAGAGGCATCTGAGAAGGTAGGCCTAGTGATGCATTTCTGAAAATATACAGCCTATGGAGCAGTTCTACTCTGCACTTGTAGGGGTTGCATGGGTTGGAATCAACTTGACTGCAATTACCAACAACCACAGAGACAAAGGCCTGGTGATCTACTTCCAGGAGTCAGCCAGTGAAAACCCATTGGATCACGGCAACCCACAGATGATCATGGGGATGGGGCAGGACAGCAGCATTTTGTTCCATTGCACGTAGGATCATCATGAGTCAAGAATGACCTGATGACAGTTAACAAGAACAACAACAAAAGCCAGGAAAAAAATGGGTTCAAAATTCATCTCTGCCACCAACTAACTGAATGACTTTAGAAAGTCATCTCACCTCTCTAAGCTCAATATTGTCCTCTGCAAAGATGAAGGAGTTGAGTTAAAGACACTCTGAGGAAGCTGCCATCTCTAAAGGCTTTGTTTCTTTGGGACACAGCAGTCTCCATGACAGACTCACCAGTGAACTGTGACCTAAGCCTCAGCATTTGATTTGTTTGTTCTTTCCGG